GGGGTTGGACCTAGAGAGCCAACCCCTCCCTGCCGGCTCGACTGGCTCGGGGAGCGCCCGGTGCCCCGTGGCGCGTTCCCAGCCTCTTGTCAGAACCCCGAGTTCGCTCCGGAATCGCCCCAACCCCTCCCCGGGACGGAGAGAGCGGCACCGTCCAATGCCTTTTTGTGCTGGGCGTTTCACACTGCTCGGCCACAGCCAAATAAGCCGTCCAGCCACCCGGGCAGACCCCACGCTTCTTTCCCTGCTCCTGCACCCTGCCCCGTCTTCGCCTTGCCTCTTGTCTGCCTCTCCTCCTCGTTCCTGCTCCCAAATAGTTGGAAAGTCGTGGAACTTGAGCTCAGAGGGTGGAGGTCTGGAGTGGAGAAGCGATGGCATCTTAATTCTCCTCCCCCACCTCCTTCTAGCCCCTCCATGTTAACTGTTTATCCTTGAAGAAGCCACGCTGAGATCATGGCTCAGATACCAGTTGGGACAAAAAAAGATTAACAGGATGGAGGCTATCTGATTTGGGGTTATTTGACTGTAAACAAGTTAGACCAAGTAATTACAGGGCAATTCTTACTTCAGGTCTTTGGCGGCTGCAGCTGCTGGTGGTGGTGGTGGGGGGGGTGTGTGAGGGAGAAAACACAAACTTGATCTTTCTGACCTGTTTTACATCTATCTTGACCCTCCCTGACTGGCCCTATATGCATATGCGGCGACATCTCCATTTCTCTCTGTTTATTGGTGTTTGTTTATTCTTTAACCGTCCACCTTCTCCCCCTCCCCAGAGACACCATGATTCCTGGTAACCGAATGCTGATGGTCGTTTTATTATGCCAAGTCCTGCTAGGAGGCGCGAGCCATGCTAGTTTGATACCAGAGACGGGGAAGAAAAAAGTCGCCGAGATTCAGGGCCACGCGGGAGGACGCCGCTCAGGGCAGAGCCATGAGCTCCTGCGGGACTTCGAGGCGACGCTTTTGCAGATGTTCGGGCTGCGCCGCCGCCCGCAGCCCAGCAAGAGCGCAGTCATCCCGGATTACATGCGGGATCTGTACCGGCTGCAGTCCGGGGACGAGGAGGAGGGAGAGCAGGTCCAAGGCACTGGTCTGGAGTACCCCGAGCGCCCCGCCAGCCGGGCCAACACCGTGAGGAGTTTCCACCACGAAGGTCAGTCCCTGCCCCCATCCGGGAGGGGAAGGGGAGGGCCAGCGGGCCAGGAGGGCCGCGGAAGCCCTGGGAAGACAGTTCAGGTTACATCAAAGCCCCGCTCCTGGAGGCTGAGGAAAGAGCTGCTCACCTCCAAGAATTTCCAGAGCTGCCGCTGAACTTATTTTCTGGAGACAGAGGGGGAGGGGTCGCGTGAAGGCTACCGCGCCACTCAGACAAGGGTAGCTGGCCCCAGCCGCGTGTTTTCGCCATATGAAAGCCTTTTCTGCCCGTTCTTTTTTTTTTTTTTTTCAAAGCACCTACTGATTTAATATTACAGCTGCGTGTTTGTCAGGTTTATTCAATAGGGGCCTTGTAATCTGATCTGAATGTTTCCTAGCGGATGTTTCTTTTCCAAAGTAAATCTGAGTTATTAATCCACCAGCATCGTTACTGTGTTGGAATTTATTTTCCTCTCTGTAACATGATCAACAAGGCATGCTCTGTGTTTCCAGGATCGCCGGGGAAATGTTTAGTAACATACTCGAGAGTGGGAGAGGGAGAGAGAGTGTGGCGGTGTGCTTGCTCCCTCCTGCCTCTGGTCTGTTGGCCCCTCTTTTACTTTACAACCACTTGTAGAGAAAACTGTGTACACAGAGCCAAGAGGGGGTTTCAAAAGGGGAGTCTGGAGGTGGTGGAGTAAAGGAGCTGACACATGGAAATTATTAGACATATGAAGGAGGCTGGAAGATACTTTCTGTCTTTGGTGCTTGATAAATGCTGAGTTCTGCCGGTGTGCTGGCTGCCCTACTTCTCTGCTCCTTCAAGTGAAAAAGTGCTCCTGATAGCCTTGCACTGTCTTAAGCAGAAGTCACCACTCATGTGCATTTTCTTTTCCTTTCTTCCCTTCCCAACTGTGCCCAGAACACCTGGAGAGCATCCCAGGGACCAGTGCGAACTCTGGTTTTCGTTTCCTCTTTAACCTTAGCAGCATCCCAGAGAACGAGTTGATCTCCTCTGCAGAGCTCAGGCTCTTCCGGGAACAGGTGGACCAGGGCCCTGACTGGGAGCAGGGCTTCCATCGCATAAACATTTTCGAGGTCATGAAGAAGCCCCCCGTGGAAGCGGTGCCCGGGCACCTCATCACAAGACTACTGGACACGAGACTGGTCCACCACAATGTGACGCGGTGGGAAAGTTTCGATGTGAGCCCCGCGGTCCTTCGCTGGACCCGGGAGAAGCGGCCCAACTACGGGCTGGCCGTGGAGGTGACTCACCTCCATCCCACAAGGACCCACCAAGGCCAGCATGTCAGGATTAGCCGATCGTTACCTCAAGGGAGTGGAGACTGGGCCCAGCTCCGGCCCCTCCTGGTCACTTTTGGCCATGATGGCCGGGGCCACGCCTTAACCCGGCGCCAGAGGGCCAAGCGCAGCCCCAAGCATCATCCGCAGCGGTCCAGGAAGAAGAATAAGAACTGCCGGCGCCACTCCCTCTACGTGGACTTCAGCGATGTGGGCTGGAACGACTGGATTGTGGCCCCACCGGGCTATCAGGCCTTCTACTGCCATGGGGACTGCCCTTTCCCGCTGGCCGACCACCTCAACTCCACCAACCACGCCATTGTGCAGACCCTGGTCAACTCCGTCAATTCCAGCATCCCCAAGGCCTGTTGTGTCCCCACCGAGCTGAGTGCCATCTCCATGCTGTACCTGGATGAGTATGACAAGGTGGTACTGAAAAACTATCAGGAGATGGTAGTCGAGGGATGTGGGTGCCGCTGAGACTGGGCAGTCCTTGAGGACAGACACACACAGACACACAGACACACACACAAAACCCCTTCCCATCCGCTCACCCACACACCACTCAGACAGACGGCATCCTTATAGCTGGACTTTTATCTTAAAAAAAAAAAAAAAAAAGGAAGAAAACCTAAACATTCACCTTGACCTTATTTATGACTTTACGTGCAAATGTTTTGACCATATTGATCATATATTTTGACAAAATATATTTATAACTACGTATTAAAAAAATAAAATGAGTCATTATTTTAAAGGTAAACAATGGCCTTTTTCTCTTTAGTCTGCTCTGTCCCTTGTAAATGAGTGTGTTTTCTGCTGTGGTGGGGTGAGGGGAGCAAGATGGAGGTAGTCTGGAGGTGGTAACCGGAAGTGGTGCAGTTGTAGGGACAGGAAGTCAATGTTAACAAGGGCACAGCATTCTCTCCTACCTGGATGACACACGCCTTGGAGAAACAGTGGGATGAAAGGAGGAGGTCACATGAAAGAGTCAGTTTGGGGCCTCCAGAGCATCTCTAGTTCACCTGTTAAAGGTGTGTCACAGTCCAGGGTGCTGGGGCCATCTCAGCTCTAGGAAATGGATTCCCACCTCTGCCTTTACGATACCCCAGGGTGTCTCCACTTATGCCAGTGATGAATAATGCACACACACTGATGTGTGTTTGTGTGTGGTTTCCCTTGTCAAACAGGAGAGTTTTGGAGGTGTGTGTGTGTATTTAGAAATAGGCTTTATGCAATTAAAAAAAGTGTACTTACCTTCCAAAAATTTGGTGATGACTACTTTAATATGCCATGTGGTAGCATTCTTCAAGGCTTTTTGACATTTTCCCTGGTCCCTTATTCCCCACCTGAAGCCTTTATCAAGTTAAAAATCTCAACAGATTGAGCTAAGGTGCTGGGGGAGTTGACAGTGGGGTCAGACACTGAAAAGTCAGAATTTTAAGCAGGCACTGTGCGTCTGTTACCTGGACTCTGTAGTTCAATGCTTGCCTTTCCTCTGTGTTGCCCCCCTGGACCTGGGCAGGATGCGTTACCCACGTGGGCCTGACGATTGGCCAGGGTTCCTTCCAGGAGGGAGCTTCATTTTTGGCCACAGCAATAAAGGATGGTGCTAATAGGCTTGGGAGTGGGAGACCCCGCTGTCAAGGGCAGAGAAAGGTCATTCTGGAAGAACATGGCACACAGGAGAAGTCTTTGGTTGTTTTTACCATCAGCAACTAAATGGGCCTTGAGTGTGGGCCTCACAGGCCCTTCTGTGAGCTCTGCCTGCTGCTGAGAGTTGGGCTGCCATAGTCAGTGTGCTCTGCAGTCCACTCGAGAACTGGGCAGCATGCATTTCTGCATCCTGAAGGTATAGACAGGAATAGTGGCAGTGGCATTGTTGCTGGTGAGGTGAGTGTGTCCTCTGAGCACGTATGGGAGGCACATGCCTGGCGTGTGTGTTTTTCTGTGTGACGAGTGTACATTCCTGTACACAATCTGGCACATGCTCTTGGGGGTGGGGTGGGTGAAGCAGGATTCATTTTTGTTTTTAATTACTGAAGTCCTGCAATCCTCCAAAAGGAGCAGCTTAGTGGAAACCAATAAAAATAGAGTGGGGTGGTTGCCAAAGCCCCAGCTCCCTGGAGAGCACAGGTGGAGAGAGGAGATCAGAGCCCCAGGCGAAGGCAGCAAGACTCCACCGTTCCTCCAAAACTCCCTGCAAAGAAGGACCTTTCCCCTTCTCCCAGCCCCCCCAGGTCGCTGCCCCTTTGATTAATGGTATGGAGCTTGAATAAATCATTTAGGGGAAGCCCATTATGGGTTCCCCTCAGGCGGCCTCATTTTGTTTTGCCCGATTTCCAGCAACTTTTTGCAGTGTTGGTGTCACTGAAAAAGAGCTCTAGGTCCCAGAGCATTGCACCAAGGATCCCTGTCCAGTTCAGGTCACTTTCTAGCAAGCCCCCCCCTTCTGCTGGCTTATTTTCAGGAATGGATAATGTTGTTTATTTGTTCAGCCAAATATTTGGTCTGGGGAATTTACCGTGAAATTCTGTGAATTGCATATACCTAGTTAACAAAATAGTCCTAATGCCACAAATGTTAGCATGAAAAACAACGAGCTATGGCCGGCATTAACTCTTTAAATCCTGTTTGAAAGCCGAGTTCTGAGGCCTGGGAAGATAAGGAATTGGAGGTGAGTGGAGATTACCTAGGATAGGGTTTAGCACTTTAGATTTATATCTCATGCTGGGCCCAGCACCTTATGGAAGTTATGGAGTGGTCCTTTCGGATCTAGCCCGCCATCTCCCCCTTTATAATATTTTTTTCCCCAGAGTAATGTTCCTATTACTGGAAGAAAGATGAGGAAAGAGAAACTCCCTTGAGTAGTTCATCAAAGACTTAACCACCTCAGAGTTGCCACTTAGTGAATTCCCTGCCCAGCCCTTAAAATGGAACCAGCTTCCTAGGAGCTGAAGACCAGGGGTTTAAGGGGGCGGGCACGCATCCTTTCCATGTTCCCGGCTTGCGTTGTTGCATAATTCGCTCAGAACCTGCCAGGTGACCTGCTGACTTTGTTTTCGGTCTTGATCGGTCTCATTCCGTACCCCCCACCCCTGCCGACGCCTCGGGGCAGCGCCGCACAGCTAGGGCTCGGAGCGCCCCGGCGCTGGGGGACCCCTAAAATCCCGGGCCTGGGACGGACATCGGGATCCGGCCCCCACGCGC